TGAAATAATTTCTTTTATGTCCAGAAAATGCTTAGATTGAAGAAGTGGACTGTGGTTTTCCAATGCTTATGAGTGATAAATCTGCAAATAGAGAAAGAGCTAAAGCTGTTATTAACAAACTAAAGCCAGCAGGGTAGGGAAACTGGTGCTTTCCCCAAGCAAGTTCCTTGGGCATGACATGAGTTAATTGTCTAAGGTAGAACAAAGCAAGTTTAATTATGAGTACTTTTCTAAGCAGGGGTGTTGCAATTAGTTATTTTTGAAAGCTATCTTTGTGGGGGAATTTAAATACTATGTATATCAAGTTCCCAGCTGCTATTCAAAGTGTTAATTTATTGTTCTCTGAGTCAGTTCTTACTATGTAATTTGAAGATTAAACAGCATAGTTTTTCTAAGGTTTGTATAGAACATACAGAAGATGGTCTTTTGTACTAATTTTTAGACATTTTCCTGTTGCAGAGCTAAGATACATAGGTAATTTGGTTAGATGTCCTATTAACAGACAAGCAAATATAATGATTAGCAGTGAAAATGTTTAAATTGATAGTGGCAGTTTTTGTAGGAGCCCAACAGGATTTCAGCAAAAATTAAAAGTATCTGTGCGTTACGAACTTCACAATCTCGTCTTTTTCCTTACTGAGAGATGACTGTTGCTCCAAAAACTGTTAAAAACAAGTCCCAAACCAAAACCCTAACCCCTTAACAGTGCTGAACACAGTGTATGTATGAATACATAACTACATACATTTCACAAGGGGTTTTTTAGAAGACAGAGACCCAAATGGTATGCCTGAATTTTTCATCTTTAAAATAAGCAAATATTAAAGAATTACTACTGTGAATCACCATTTGGGACTTTATTACCATTTATTGCTCTATATTATTCTTCATTTCCCAGCACAAATCAACCTTTGTTTCTGCCTCCCTGTCTCTGTTTCTCCATGTTTGTGCTGCTCCACGTTCTGCTGACTTTCCAGTCCCAGTTGGGACTTGTCACTTTTGTGAAGGTGCCTGCTGATTTGTGAAGCTGCCTCCTTCAGTTTGTTGGGGTGGTAGAGCCTTTTGTGTCCATTCCTCTCAATATAACTTTATTTCAGTTCTACAGTTCATACAGCTGTCAAGTTTCTGTAAGGTTTTCCATTTCTTATTCCAGGAAGCTATTATATTTTGTGGGGATTTTTTTAGTTTGTGTTTTTTTGTTGTGGTTTTGGTTTTTTTTTTTTTTTAAATTTTTGCTCCTACAAAATAGCTTAATTTTCTACTTTACTAATGAACTATGGACTTCCTTTTATAACTCTGTGAAGAACTAGCTATGCATGGTGATTTCTCCATAGAGAAAGTGGAGGCTATAAATATGCAAATATTACTTTTTGGCTTTACAAAGTTTAATTGCTTTGTATATTATGCAGATTCCTAGGCTGAAAAATCTGATGAGAGCAAGGAAAACATTTGTATAGTCACTATCTTAAAAATGCAGGCAGATTGCTGAAAAGTGTGCCAGTTTTGAGTCTGCAGGTTTACATCTTGTTGATGTTATTACAGGGTGTATAGGGTGCTTGCATGACTGAGGTTCTTCACTGAATGCAAACATCGTGTTTCTAAACTGTACATTTCTCAGAGCCTGTGAAAAGCAATTGGAGCAGCTGCTGCTGCCATCCTTCTACATGCTGAGATCACAGGAAGCAGAGCTGGAAGGGACCTCAGGAGGTCATCTAGTATATCGCTACCCTAAAGCAGGATCAGGGAGTTCTGAACATTTCCAAATAGTCATAGATTTTTGAATTTGAGGCAAGAAATCAAGAAGTTTTCATGTTGTGTTTGATATTTGAAATTATTTTTGTTGGTTAAAGTATAAAACAGAGGTATAATCCAGGATATGTGACACCTGAAAATTTTTTTAAATGTATATGTTTACAGTATCTGTAAAATGTTTGGACTCTGAAAGTCAGTAGTCATGTGTTGTTAGGGGTATAAGGTAGGCACTGAAATGCCTCACAAAGTTGGGAACCGTTTCAGTGTAATACTTCAAGCACTCTCTCCTCTGTTGGTTTTTCTAGTGATGTTGGAAGAAGGACCAACCTCTGAACACCCTGTTGGAAGTGCGGGCTGCTGTTTTAGTAATCTTAGAGAGAGAGAGATATTTGGATATTAATAATTAGGAGTCTTCTAGTGTTCTAGTTTTAAGTATCACCATATTCGGAGAGATAGATTGCTTTAATCTGGCCACTTGCTTTGATGTTTCTCTTCACTGGAGGCAAATCAGAGAAAAAGAAAGCAAAAGTATTGTTTTGCAAAATTCAAAGTAGATAACATAGATGCAGAATTTAATGAAAAAAAGGTGGAAAGAAAGGATGTTGAAATTGTTCGTATATTGCTTAGAATGGTTGAAAATCTCTCTTTAAGATCCAGCTCACAGGCTGTTCAAATATTCAGAGTCCTGTAGCTGAGGACCTATTTCTGCATGGATCAAACCCACTTTGGTATAAGTCCTGAAAGAGGATCTATCTAGATTTGAGAACTTGGGTGCTTTTGATTTGGGATGATTTGAGAACTTTGTTATTTCCTTTTACATCACAAACTTCTTTAGAGATTGTTTATATGCATTAATTACATGATGGGAACTAGTGGTTGAGCCACATTATTGACAACCCTTTCTTTCCCTGCTGCCCTGCATTTTCAACAGAGTGACAGAAAAAGCCTCTGCTTCAGCAGAAACAGCAGAGACTGCCTCTTGCCAGGACAGTCATATGAGGTGGGAGGTGTGGGACTGAATCCCCATAGACCAAGGCAGGATCCTGGCTGAGTCCTTAAAGCACCGTTTGACAGCAGCGCTCCTGTCACTTCCATCTTTCCCTCTCTGGCTGCACTTTAAAAAAGCGAACTGCTTGGGTTTCTTTTTCCAGGAGATGGTGTCAGACCAAGTCCTTAATGGGATTGAAGTATCTTCTGCAGGATGAATAGTGTACCCTTCTGCTGAGTGTGTCCATGTTGACCTTGTAGGCAGTTTCTGACTGAGCATGCAAGCTTTGCTTTCTTGCTGTAACGTCCTGACGCTGTGGTCTCACCACTTGCAAGTTAAGCAACGACACATAGCAGCATGTGACTGGGAGAGCCTTGAGTCATCAAGTTTACACATCCCCAGTCATAAACAGTGATCTGTTAAGTCCTGAACGATCAACAAGAATATTCACTTCTTGCTGTGTCCTTTTCATTACCTGTAAGTTCCAAATCCCTACTAACCTAATTACTTTCCTTTCCCTGGCTCTATAACTAGCTGAAGGTTTTGAGAACAAAAAGACCAAAAACTTACACTTCTGAAGTTTCCTGGAGGGAGGAAGGAGAGATCCTCAGAGTGCTCCAAGTTCAATCATAGAATCATGGAATATGAGGTTGGAAGAGACCTCAAGGATCTTCTGGTCCAACCTTTCTTCACAAAAGCATGGTCTAGGCATGATGGCTCAGCACCTTGTCCAGCTGAATCTTAGAAGTGTCCAATGTTGGGGAATCCACCACTTCCCTGGGGAGATTATTCCAATGGCTGATTGTTCTTATTGTGGAAAATTTTCCTCCTGTGTCCAATCAGAATGTCCCCAGGAGTAACTTGTACCCATTACTCCTCGTCTTTTCTATGTGACTGCTTGTAAAAAGGGAGTCTCCATCTTCTTTGTAGCCACCCTTTCAAATACTGGAACATGGTGATAAGGTCTCCCCTCTTTGCTGCAGCAGCACACCATTCATATTGAGCTTCTTGTCTACCAGGACCCTCAGGTCCCTTTGCACAGAGCTTCTCCCCAGCTGGGTAGATCCCAGCCGGTGCTGCACTTCTGGATTATGTTTTCCTAGGTGCAAGACCTTACATTTGTCATTGTTGAACTTCATAAGGTTCTTGCTAGCACTCTCTTCCAGCCTCTCCATGTCTTCCTGCAGAGTGGCTTACCCTTCTGAAATGTTCCCCACTCAGTTTGGTATCATCACATCATTTGCTCTATTGTTCTTCCAACAAATATCTGGGTAGTTGAAGTCACCCATAAGAACCAAGTTCTGTTGACCTGAAGCTTGCTTAAGTGTCATAAATACTGCTTTTTTTTTTTCCTTATTGTCTTGGTTTGGGGGTCAGTAGCAGATGCCTACTGTAAGATTCCCCCTTGGAGATGACCCCTCTGATCTTGACCCATAGGCATTCAATAGAGCTTCCACAACTGCTGTAGCTGAGTTCTATACATTCAAGGTTCTTTTTAACATAGAGTGTGACTCTACCATCTCTTCTTCGCTGCCTGTCTTTACAGAACAGCCTATAGCCATCCATCGTGATCTTTCAGTCATGTGAGTTGTCCCCAGTTTTTTCTATGATATCATAACTTCCTGACTGGGCACGGGGCTCCAGTTCCTCCTGTTTGTTCCCCAGGCTGCATGCTTTGGTGCACATACACATACACTTGCGATGGTTGCTCTTCAGATTCTCATCTTGGGAGACAGCTAAGAAACATTTGTTGCTGCTCTGGTTGACCTGGCTTATTCCCCAGTTGGTTGCAATGGCATAGCATTGCCACTTTGGACCCTGTCCCCTAAGTCCTTCAGTTTAAAGCCTGCCTCACCCAAGTTGGCCAGCCTGCTGCCAAAGATTCCCTGCCTCTTCTAGGGAATCCAGAAGAGTTCATAAAATAGAAGGGAGTTTATGTAGACCAAGCACCACAACATTGTGTTGTCTAAAGCTCTTTCTGGATCTAACTCTTAATTCCTTGGGAATTTATAACAGAATCTTATCTATATATAAATATATGAATTGTACAAATTCATGCTTTCCTTTATCTCATATAATTTTCCTGTGTGTGTACTCTTTACATGCTTTAACAATATATAAAAAATTAGTTACTTTTCCACATTTTAAAATAATATATAATTTGTTGGAGATAGTTCTTAATGCAAAGAGAGTTCTTAATACAAAGGTTATCATGTTCTTTTAACCTGTCAAAAAATAACAAACTTTTTTTATCCACTAGCTGTTAAGAGTGTACAAAGCTGCAGTACAACAGACATTGGATATACTTTTTCTCCCCGAAGGAAGAGAATTTCTTACAAGCACAGATGCAGTAAGCCGGGACTCAGCTGATCGTACCATTATTGCTTGGGACTTTCAAAGTGCTGCGAAAATCTCCAATCAGATTTTTCATGTAAGATTAACAATTAGTATTGTTTGGGTCATGATTTAGCATTTCATGTTTGTTAGCATTGTTAAAAAAAAAAAAAAAAAAAGGTTTTGATTTTCTGTAAGACCATTGTGTGATGTATAAAAATGCTCTTATTGTAAGCTGAGGGCTTTCTTTATTTTTATATTTTAAAAACACCTACTTATTCTTAAAAAATGACCTTGAAGTCTGATAGGTCCCCTTGTGTTAAAAATATTTACATTTCAGTGCTTGTGCACGGACATCTAAGCTATATTTAGGCAAGGCCACTGCAGTGTCATTCTAGCTTGCCAATGGTGCATGGCAGTAGTTGCTATAGTGCTACGTTTCTTTTCTCACACTTTTTCTTACATTTTTCATCAGCTGCAATGAGGGCTATTGACAAATTTTGTTTAATATTCACATAGTAACAGCAACCTGATACATGCATATAGATACCTAGTACAGCATAATCACAGGGGCAAAATTTACTTCTATCAGTGCAGGTTCAGTGTTTTTCTCAGTAATCTATCCAGGCAAGATATTTAATAGACTAAATTGTCTAGAAAGGCTGAGAGCTTCAAACAAGATTATCAGGGAAGTTAATAGATAATTCCAACTCCCTGGGTCTTTTTTTTGAAAACCCAAGTCTAATATTCTGTGTATATACATGCTTTTTGGCTGAAATGAACAGTTCTCTACTGACAAGGACATGTACATGATGATCTAATGAGTTTTTGTTTTTAATTTCCAGTTATGTCTTTATCCAGTACTGGATCTATCAACATCTTGGACAGGCAATAGGAAAGAAACCCAACAAACTGTGAATATCTAAAGTACAGGCTAGTCACATTCAGTATCAAGGAGTAAACACCAAACAGCTTCTCTTTATCCCTTGCCAAACAACCAACTAACCCCGTCCCGCTGCTTACATTCTCACAACTGCAGTATCTCTGAAATGGACTGTTTTCCCCCTTTTCTGCACTGTGAATAAACAAAACTTGGTGATGGTTTTGGAAACTCTGCTTCAATTTTCTGAATTTCACCTTTGAACCCTTCAAGGTGGGAGAGAACCCCCTGAGCTCTCCAGATTAGATCCTAACAGGACTTGATCTATTGCTTGTTTGCATTAACAAATGAATAGTTTAAGAGCTCTAAAATAACCCATTGCTACAGTATACCCAACACAACAGCACAGTGCTCCTGCAGATTGTGTTGTGCTTTCTGATCTCTTATTGTTAGACTCAGTTTCTCTGTTAGACCCAGAAGCAGGCAGTGATTTGCCACAGAGCCCACTCCTAACCAGCCATGCTGTATAACCCTGTTTTGGCTTCCGCACCAATACCCAGAACTTCCTTCCCAGTTCATCACTTCTAAACCACACTGTCAGTCTGGTGTCCTTCACATGCAGATGCATCCTACAGCCAAAGATCTCTTAATTTGTATTCATGACATCAAAATTCAGCACTGTGTCTTTAGGTTAGGATGAAACCCAAGGTTTGGACCTGGTGAAACCTTGTGAGAGCCATTGATTTCTGATGCAGTCACTACAGAGTTTTGAAAGTAATTTTAATTCAGCCTTAAATAGGAACACTAGAGTAAAGATAAGTGTTACTAATTTTTGTAGATATTTATGAACTTACAGCCCACAGCAGTCTACTTGGCAAATCACTGTCATAACGAACTTCTGGTTTAGTAGGCTAACAATGATCCCTTGTTAAAAAATTATATTTTTTATAATAGTGGGGTGGGGAATTGTGTCTGTTTAAATGGCATGATTTCTATTCCTGTCAGTGTGGCCAGAACTGAGAGAATGAAGGATTTTGAGAGCTCCTAAAAGGTAGCATGGAAGGCACAGTATGGCTGTGGAGGAAGGGATAAGAGGATTCACTTCACATTCAAACTTCAGTTTTCCTTGAGCAGGAAGAGGATGACTTGAGTAGCATCAGGTTGGAGTTACCTTTCTGCAGCTGTTCTGCAATATAATTATGGTTCAGAGGGAGATGGGACTTTGGTCAGTATCTAGGAAATTAAAGCAGAGATTTGATTTGATATTTCTCTTGGTGTAAGGCTTTCAGTGGATTGTAACGAGTTAAGTATCTTTATATAATATATACTATGAAGATGGCTTATGTATACCTTGCCCTCTATGGTCTTTCAAATATGTCAATAGCTAACCTGAGTCATTTGAACAAATCCTTTTTTTCATACAAGAAAACTTTCTTTAAAATTATTTTCAGGAGCGTTACACTTGCCCAAGCCTGACTCTGCACCCAAAAGAGTCTATGTTTGTTGCTCAGACGAACGGGAACTACATGGCTTTGTTTTCTACCCAGCGACCTTACCGAATCAACAAAAAGAAAAGATACGAAGGACATAAGGTATCCTTCTTCACTGAGAACTTAGTATCCAAGTCAGAAAGGAAGATAGATAGCTAAGTACCTGCGCTTTTTAATGTGTCTGCTAATAGTGTTTGATTATAAATCAGTGATAGATACTAATTAGCTTCATTTGCTTTCCCATGTGCCAGTCTATTTTGAATCATATGCACTCTGAAGAAAATAGCTATTAGAAGAATTTATGAATACTTAATAGCTTGATTAAATAAGTTTGTGTTATAGCTGTGCGTTAATAAACACCTGGAGAAGTCCTTAGTGTATATTTATTTAAAGATAAAATTATTTTTTCATACTATATTCATTTTCAGTATATTACAATGAACTGTTCTAATCATCATCAGGAGTTACACTGTTACTGATTTTCACAGGTGGAAGGATTTGCAGTGGGCTGTGAATTTTCTCCAGATGGAACACTTTTGGTGACAGGAAGTTCAGATGGCAAAGTGTTTTTCTACAACTATCATACTGCTAGGATTATTCGCACTTTGTCTGCACATAAAGAAGCTTGTGTGAGTGCAATATTTCACCCAGTCTTGCCTTCGCTCCTTGCAACATGTGATTGGGCTGGAGAAATCAAGATCTGGCAATAACAAGCAGAGTTAGTTTTTAGGATGTCTCCTGTTAGTCTGTCAAAGGTGTAGGAAATAAACCATGGTATGCAATGTGAAATTCTGTTGTGATGTGTTGTAAGCAGGAGAGACTGTTGTCTTTTCTTCTATGACCTTTAAGTCTGTGCTATCATAATGGAGTTAAAATGGTTTTGTGATTAACTGCTGAGCAAAGAAGTGGTCTTACTCCCTCCCTGAGCCCTGGTGACAAATTTTTGCCCCTTTTGTTTCAATCTTCTGGTGCTCATCCAGCCCCACCCTGGTTCAAGTAACTACATTTAAGAAAATAATTGTTCTTTTTATGTAGCTTTTCAATGCAGATGTCTTGAATCAGGTTTTAGCATAGAATCACAGAATCATTTAAGTTGGAAAAGACCTTTAAGATTGTTGAGTCCAAATATAAACACAACACTGCCAAGTCCACCACTAAACCATGTCTCTAAGTGCCATCCTCCAGGGAAGGTGACTCAACTGCTTCTCCGGGCACCCTGTTCCAATGCTTGACAGTCTTTTTGGTGAAGAAATTTTTCCTAACATCCAATCTAAACCTCCCTGGTGCAACGTTTCGTCTCGTCCTCACCAAAAGTTGGAGGGGACATATTATTTAACAGAGGATGATGTTCAGATCAATTAATGCCTATTTTGTCTTCCTGCGATTTTTTTTTTTTTTTTCCCACTACTTTATACTATTTTTCACTCTTTCAGCTCCCTAACATAGCCACTGAAGGCTTAGACAAACAAGTGTAGTTCAAGGCAAAACAGCTCCTACGCACAAGAAAGGGGAATATTGCAGGGCAGGTGGGACTACTTCTTTTGGAAATGATTGGCTGTTACTAGCTTTTGAGAGTTTCAGGGAAAGGTATGCCAGATAACTTGAAGCTAATTTTGAAGTTAATAAATTTGTGTTGAAATCCTGGTGTTTAAACTTCGGTTTTAAACTTACATTTATGACTGTACATAAGGAAAGGAATACTATGTGTAAATATTTTTGGTGAAAAAAATAAACATTTTTTCATACATGGTGTCTGTATGTTACTATTTTACTCCTGTTATTCTTGACAAGTTAGTACTGAAGACAATCATGGAATTGATACTTGGGGGGAAAACAGTTAATATACTACCCTAATTTATTGTGGACATGCATGCATTTCTCCATACTTCTTGATCTCACTTAGACACAGAAAATTGCCATCATGCTTTTCAGTGTAGGGGATATTCTTTGACATTCAGACAAAGAGCTGGGCTATTCTGCAGCAAATAGAAAATTCATTAAGCCAGAACTCTGTATTGACATATGCACAGATTGCTTGTAAATGTATTTTAAATTTGCATTCCCTGAACCTGTATTGCTTGTTTCTAGAAGTTATTATTAATTTTATACCTCTCTGTGTGTCACTGAAAAAATATATTTATATCTAAACCATAGATATTCCCAGCCTTGACTCCATATAAATATGTGCTACCTTGCAGTGAGTGCTATAAGCTTGGCTTCTGTTTGGTCTGATTAGTCTATAAAGGTATTTTAGCATACACGGGATAATTTTGTAGAGTAAATTGTCTCTGTCATGCAATCCAGAAATCATGTCTAATATCAATTGTCCTCTGTAGCATCTGTTTGTTCTTTTATTTTTTTCTTATTGGCATAGATACAAAGGGTTTTTATCTAGTTTTCACATCCTCAGTTAAAACAGCTTTTTCAGAGAAAATTCTTCAGAACGCTGATGCAAATGGACGATTTTAATTAACTAAAGTACTCCATTGTTTTTTAGTTTGTGTTCCATATAGCTTGTAGTAAGAAATAAGCCTGTACCAAGACTGTGGATCCATGGTTATATTGTTTTTATATTGTTTGGACGTTGGATCAAGATATTGTGGCTGTGTGGTTTCAATCATCTTATCAACAGTTCTGACAGGTTTTAACAAAGGGCATTAAATTTTAGTGAACCATGCAATGTAGCACAAGTAACTTTTTTTTTTTTTTTTTCCCCCTCTCCAGACTGTTCTTAATTTCTTACTTCCTTGTTCGGCATATACCTGTTTGGTGGGAGCCTGAATTTTGCACTTCTCTTGACTGTGCCTTTAGCATACAAGCTACCTGGACCCTCAACTGATTTGATGATTTGATGAGTTACTTCTAATTCAAACTGTGGGATCTTCATAAATATCAGGAGTTCAGCTGAAAGTAAAGTAGTAGCCTATCACCAGGCAGGCTGAATCAAACTGCATGGCATTTTCTCAGAGGGTGGCTCTGTGTCTCTCCCTCCAAGTTCAAAATGTGCTATTGCCACTTTAAAACCTCTGGCAACCGGTTGTGTCTGTCTGAAGGATGGGCAGCACTGTAGTCGTGCAATGCATCCTATTATTTCCAGAAGAGATTATCTGTCTGTTATTTTATTAAACACACTGTTGAGAAAGGCCTCTGAAATCAGTGTGAGGTCATGGTAGAAATACCTTCTTGGATGAGGCCCTATCTTATATGAAGGCTGCTCTATATCTGAATGCATTCTCAGCCTGTTCAGCCTCAGCTGAGAGCACCTCTGAATAGATTGGAAGGTCCAAGAGAGGAGTCTTCAGGAATCATTGCACATGCTGCGTAGAAAAATAACTGCATTTTGTAATATTACCCATGTTGTTGCTTAACTTATGTCCTGAGGTGGCTTCTGGTGTCTTGCATTTGTCCCTCCTGAAATTATTTTGCAAGTGTAGATCTTAGACTGTTCAGAGGCGGGTGGAAGAAAAAGCTTAAATTTGATTAAAGATAGTAGAGAAAAATAAAAGAAACTTGAAAGTGTATAATCTTAAAGAACATTAAAATTAGAACTGCATTTGTGTCAGATTTCTAAGATGGCTGGAGTTTTAATTACTTACGAGATCCAGCCAATTGTTTTGTAATGCAATGAAATTGTGTTCACAGCATTATCTTGTTAAAATCTCTTTCTAATATAAAACTGATTAAGACACAGACTGAAATTTAATCATTGGAAATATTTTAGAATAGTGGTGTCAATTAAGTTTTCATTATGATTCAAAGACAAATTCTTCTTTGTAATCTTATGTAATGAACTGTAATCAAAAAATATCCACGTTGCTCCATCATTCTGCAATTACCAAATAATGTTTGGGCTGCAAACAAGGACTGTTATGGTCAGATGAAGCTTTTAGAATGTTCTGAATTGTTGGTTAATTAATTTTATTCATAAAAGTGTAATCTAGAAATTTTTTAATCTTGCTTTAGCAGCAGTTCTAGCTTTATATAGAGTTCTCTAGGGCATCATATATTAGAGCCAAGGCAGAGATCTTCAGCATTTTGAAATGGTTTAGGCTGCATAGATAAGCAAGCCAGATTCACTTTACTCTGTTTTGTACTGTACCAAAAAGTAATAATGCCAATCTCTACCACTTTATTATTTGCTACTGGAGCATTATTAATTTGGGGTGCCAGAGGATGCAAGCTATTCAACTGTCTTTATCTCAAAAACCTGCTAATTAGCAGACAGTTATTAGAATCGTTGTGTTCACTCAGCTGAAATACTGTTGGTGAGTCACTCTGTATTTCAACTATAGGTCTAATCACAAAAATAAGGTATGGTATTACAATGGGATGACTCTTTCCGTAGGGAACAGGCAAATGTAAAGCTACAAGACTATGGCAGAAGGGAACAAACCAGGAAGATCAAAAAATCATGTGATCTCAAATTTCCCATTTTCCTGATAAATGGGTTTGGACTGAATTCAACTGAAAATATTTGCTCTGCTTTCTTTGGTTAACCTTCATCTTGTCCTCTTAATCCCAGCTCCTCCTAGCCGTGGCTCACATCCTCACCATTTAATTTTCAGCTTTTCTGTCCTTGCTTCAGCAACTTGTCCTCTTCATTTAAATTCATCTTCAATAAATTTCATTTGGCTGTGCTCTGACTTGTGGTTTTCAGGCTTTCATTACAGCTGTCATTAGAAAGGTAGCCAGAAATCCGAGAGCACTTTGCACTCTGTTCTTGCTTTTCTCTGTTTTCCAGTTTTAATGAGGCTTATTTTGGAGATTCTCCCTTCCTTCTTAGCCTCTCTTCTGTCCATTTCTCTTTCTACCTTTGATTACTGCTTTACTGTCTTGCAGATCCTTTCTATTATAGCTGCTCCTGCAAGTTGTGCCTACATTAGTGCTTCAGATTGACAGGAGTGCACATTTTGGGAAAAAATAATAAAAAAATCTCCCAGTTATTGCCTCTTACAATGCTTTGGTTCACAGAGTGCACAAACTGCATTTCTTTCAAATGCACCTAAATGAGGAGATATGCTCCAAGAGAATATTTAACATGTCCCAGCTGGTGGGACTAGACTGGAGATAGCTCAGAATATCTCCTACACACACACCCCACACCCCAATGCATGTAGTTTAGATACTGCATTTTCAGAACTGAGACAAACTCTACAAATTTACTCTTGTTGGGCCTTACTACTTGCTAATGTAAATGCAGCCTCAGGAGTTTCAAAGAATCTTTGCACTTTCCCCTTTGATATCTTTCTCACCTATCTCTTCATGACTCACCACTCTGTGCAAAGTGGTCATACATCTGTTGTCTTCATGCTTCAGAGAGTGGAAATGCAGGAAATTAATTTATGAAGGGAAAAGAAAGCAATTTTAGGAGCACTTGATCTCCAATGGTAGTAAGACAAGCTGGTCCCTGTGCAGAGCTTAATGAATTCTGCCACGTGTGTAGAATGACTCTTTAGTTGGGACAGAGCAGCCTGGTCTGTAATGGGAATGGTGGATCTCCAGGTGGGAGTAGGGCTCCTTTTGCTGCCTTTAGGTGGAGGTTTAAAGGAATTTAGCTTATTCATCTCCCTTTCCCAGTCCCGGGATATTATTCTCCACAAGTTTATTTAGAAGTGTACCAGAAAGTACTTAGATATTGCACATAAATTATAAAGCTTCACCCAGATGTAATTCTCACTACAGTTTCACCATTTTGGATAAGCGTCTCTTAAAATCAACCTAAAAACTCTTGCAGGAACTCCTTGGAGGAGGCTGAAGTTCGCCAAGGTTGAAAACACCTGAAGTTACAGTCCAGACAGCTTCACAGAGATGTATTTGTCTCCATCATCTGAGCCACAAAACTCAGGTATCATTCCTAGCTTTGAGTAAGATTTATAATAACAAATTGTTTGAAGTGTGTCCTTAAAAGACCAATTTCTGTAACAAGTTATGCATAAGTGTACCATCCCTGGTACAGACCAGGTTACCTTGAGAAAGCAATTTTCTTGTGTTCAGTTTGTTACCACTCTCTTATAAGGAAGTAGCAAAGAATTGCCTCAGAGTATCATCTAGATATATCTTCACACATGAACTGTGTTATTTTTCATGTTTTAGTGTATAACCACCTCCTTCGTTACCTTGCCATTAAATAAGTAAAATCCAGAGCCCTTCCACCTCATGGTGCCTAGGAAGCGATTTAAGTTGAATATTAGCTAAAGAATGTCATACCTTATAAAGCATATGAGTTATTTTGATTCTTTCTTTCCCTTTTCTTGCTTAATTTATCCTTGCTCAGGCAAGCTCTTCTTGTTTCTGAAGAGAATTTCTTATAAGTAAAGATAAAAGATCCATTAGCCCCAGCCAGTCTCAATGGTTAATTTTCACATCTTTGCTATTTGTTTTAATACATACAATTACTTGAAATGCAGAAACCTTTTCAAATCATGTACTCTTTGTAGTATAAAAATAAAAATGCTTATTATACTGTTAATATAAAACATGCAATCTGTGAACTGTAGACAAGACATGGACTAATGTTTCTTTGTTGCAACCTCAAACAGATAATATTTTGACCAGATATGTGTCCTCTGAACCTGGGCAAAAGCAATGAAGTGAAATCTTAAATACATCCAAAAACTCATCTACAGATCTTTGCTTTTCTCAAACATCAAACATATGAGATTTTTTTGAAAAAAATCATAGGAGATTTTAATACTCGTGAGGCAGAAAGACGTGGGGTTCCTTCTACAAGTATGAGGGAAG